CTTTTCAGATGAGGAATTGGGGGTGTGAGTGATTAAGGGACTTGTTGAAAAATCATATAGCAAGCAAATGGCCAGGCCAGGACTCAGATCTATGGTCTTACCCTCTCCTCTAAACCCCTTGGAGAATTGCCTTTGCAAAAAAGACCTGGGAACCTCTCTCACATTTGCAAGACTTGTTATTGGAGAATAGAAACTCTGTTTGAGGGCCTGTTCTCTTGAATGTCTCTCTTAGAAGGGAATGAGGAAAGGGTATTTTAGTTATGTTCATGGAGACCTATTTCATCCAGTCAACAAGCAGTGAGTTTCATAATACAACTTAACATTTAGTCTCTAGGCAGTACCCCCCCCCCCCGCATTGTCTCTCCTAGGTGGGAAGGCCCCTCTGGGTAAATCAGGTGCAGCTGTGCTGATTCTACTGCTCAAGAGATAAGTAGTAACAATATTCCTACTTATTTTTTGTTTAGTAGTTACTATGCTAAATACTTCTCAAATATTATCTTGTTTAATCCTCAAAACATCCTTACAAGAAGGCCATTATTATTCCCAAAGTGGTAGAGCATGTTTCTCTGGCATGTTCATGCCCTGTGTCTTTCTCCAAACTTTCTCTGGAAGGAAAGTAGCTTTAAGCATAAATATGCACAAATTATGCTTTGTGAAGTCCACCGTATTATAGAGATACATTGTTTTTCTTCTAGAGGTTCTGCTACAAAGAATGACCAGACTGTAGGGAGGTGTGGGTAAAAAAGAAGAAGAAGAAGAAGAAGAAGATACAAGTAGACCAAGAGAGAAATGTTTATAGATGTAGGATGAGGTTGAAGTAAGGAACTGAAGGAGACTCGGCTGAAAGTGGTCCAAGAGAGAGATGTTTATAGATGTAGGATGAGATTGAAGTGAGGAACTGAAGGAGACTCGGCTAAAAGTGGTCCAAGAGAAACAGGAAAGAAGTGCTTGGCACCATTCTCTGGGCTTTCGGCAGATTTGTGATATGCTGTGGGGATAGGATTAACTTCTTTCTGGTGAAGGCCTGAATCTGCATGTTATTGCCAAAGCAGGAAGACACAGTGTACTTATTCCATAGAGGAAGAAACTGAGGAGTGGGGGACATTGCAGCAAATTGTTTTAGTCATACTCTCAGGTAAGTGTTGGGATCCAAGTCTGTATGGTCCCACATTTTATGTTTCTTTACTCCTGACATGAATAACATGGCTAAATCTAGAGTGAATGAGCTACTGATGACAAAGCAGAGACAAAAATAACAAATAGAATCAATTTCATATGTGATTTAAAATACTGGGATGTACACTCACTTTAGAGGTTAACATTTATTGTTTCAGCCAAGTCCAAAGTGCCATGGTAGGAGTCAGAAAATGTACTCAACCTAAGCAATGGACACACACAGCAAACAACTATGGATCACTGTACTTTTAATATGAGTTGCTGACTTTTTCACAGGCTTTGGCTGTTTGACCTTATTTCTAAGACTGCACTATGTACAATAGTTTCAGTAGGAAAATATTCTCTGAGTCCAAACTTAATGTAAAAAAGTATTTTAAAATTCAAAAATGCAAAGAAAGTAGGAATACATAGATGAAATCAAACAGGAACCCTCCATAGTAGATTTCACAGAATATTATTTATTAAACAATTTTTCCTTAAAAATCATAGGAAAAATATAAGGGTTAAACATTCATGATTCTTGGCTTTTTCAGATGTACTTGGCTAATATTCAGTGGCAAAAATAATGAATTGCTAAAAATTTGGGAGAAATATGAAATTTGGAAGGCAGAGAAGCCTTAGGTATATATTAATACAAGATGTAAATATTATTTACTTATTTATTTATTTATTATGAAGATGCATATGAGCTCTTCTGGGTTATTAATAAGAACTAGAGGATTAGGTTAGATAATTTACAAAAGTCAAAAAATGGAAGACCAAGGGGAGAGGGTATTTCAAAATTAAAGGGATACCCAAGGAAGAGAGCGCTAAAGAAATTTGCCTTCATGGAAATATATAAATAGATTAAGAGTACTAGTCTTGCCTGAAGACTTGAGAATTAAATAAAATAACCTCTTCAGGTCTCTTCTTGTCTTATCTTTTAAGTTTAATCACATTTCATGGGTAATATGTTATCATAAAATATAATGTTAACTACTAAATTTAAGAGTGTAGGCTCTGTAGTCAAACAGACCTCAGTCTGAATCAAACATGTAACCATTAGCCTTCAATGGACTTGAGCTACCCCATAAGCCTATTACATTTCTCAAAACCATTCATTCACTCCCTAAGATAAACATCTGAGAAAGTCTTCATCTTTAAGCTTTGAAACTTCCGCTCTAATTCTCATTCTTCAATAAGAAATAGAAGCAATAATAAAGGACCTTCCATAAATTCCTATCAACACACTACCAGCATCCCCATGTCTGTGCACACAGACACTTCCCCCCTTCCTGTTACAGTGAATAAACTGCCTGGAATACTAAGGTCAAAGCTTCTGTTTATGCACTGGATCCCAGCCTCTGTCTCCAAATCAAGATGTCATTCCAGTAACCACCACGTCCATTTTTCTCCCTTTCCTGAAACATTCTCCTTGGCCAACCAACATACAATAATGTCAGCCATCTTTCTCTTCCAGCTACTCCTCCGTTACCAGAAAATGCCTCAAAATCCTTCAATGTCTTCACTTCCATTTCCTTGGAACTCATTTTAATCAACCTTTTCTCACCACTATTCCATCAATACAACTCATGTCAAGGTCCCAAATAAAATCCACCCATACTGTCTTGCCCAAAGGCAACTTCTTAGCTCTCATCTTATTTGAATTATCCCCTACATTTGACCCAGTTGGTTCTACATCCTCCTTTCTCAAACACATTCTCTCTTGGGTTCCAGGAAAATACTATTTTTATTCTTCTATCACAAGATTTCTCTGAAGTTTCTTTCACTGGTTCCTTTTATCTTCCCAACTTCTGGCTGAAGGGCCCCATGGCCCCATTCTCTGACCTCTTCTCTTCTCTTTCTACACTACTTATTTTGGTTGATCTCATCTGACCTCATCTGACCTATAGTAGATACCATATTCATGATGAAATCCCAGATTTGTATCTCCCCTGAGCAGACCCTTCCGTGAAATCTAGATTCATATATCAACCCACCTACTTCACATCCCCATGGATGGCCAGGAGGCATCTCAAGGAGAATAAAGCTCTTTTTTCCTTCCTTGGGCAAAAAAAACTTTTAAAAATTTTCTTGACTTCTCTCTTCTCTTCACAGCCTGCAATAATCCATCAGAAATACTCATTGGCTCCTTTTTCAGAATATACCAGAATCTGAACACTCCTTACCACCTTCACCATTTCTACTGTGAGTCTAATGCACCCTCTTCTTTTGCCTGGAATATTGTACCTTTGCCTGCCTCCTTCCCACCTCCCCCAAGTTGTTCTCTAAAAGGCAATCAAAAGGATACTATTGAATATAAATAAGATTTTTATATTTCCAGCTCAAAATCTTTCAATGACTTCCTCTCTCATTCATAATGAAACATCAAGGACATTCCCACAGTCTACAAGGCTACATGAGTAATCTGTGAACCACCCACATACAAGGTCTGAAAATTAATTTCACAAACTTGCCACCGTGTGCTTACCTTGGCAGCACCATACAAACAACTCAGTAAAGTTTCATAAACTTGTTATATCAGTGTCTCACAATTGTGTTCATGTAGACATGTGATGGTGCCTTGCTCAGTGGCATTCTTTATTATTATTGCATGTTTTTGTGTGTTGTCGCAAGAATGTCAGAGCTTGACTTAGAGCAATAATCAAACATTCTTAGATTTCTTGTTAAAGTTGGCAAGAGTGGAAGTGAAATCAGAGACAAGTTAGTCCAAGTTTGTGGGGATAATGCCATGAAGAAAACAGCAATGTACAAATGGATTTAACTTTTTTCTGAGGGGAGAGAAAGCGTCACTGATGAAGAGAATAACAAGCAGACAATAACAAGCAGAAGTGACAAAACATTACAAAATTTTGCAAATTGTGCGTCAAAACTGTCAACTGTCTATGAGAAGTACTCCAGACCAAGTAAACATCAACAGAGAAACAGGAAAAGCATAGCTGAAAATCTTGGCCAACAACGTATGCCTCTTGCATCACAATAATGCACCAGCTCGCACTCTGTGCCTCTCTGTAGAAGAGGAATACTGAAAAATACGCACCTCCTAGCATTGCTGTTAGAATTAAATGAATTAAGAAATACAAAGTGGACCAGGTGTAGGGGCTGACGCCTATAATGCTAGCATTCGGGAAGGCCAAGGCAGGTGGATTGCTTGAGCTCAGGAGTTCAAAACCAGCCTGAGCAAGAGTGAGACCCTATCTCTACTAAAAAATAGAAAAAATAGCTGGATGTAGTACCTCAGCTACTCAGGAGACTGAGGCAAGAGAATTGCTTCAGCCCAAGAGTTTGAGATTTCTGAGTTGTGACATGGCCACACTCCCTGCCCAGGGCCACAGAGTAAGACTGCCAAAAAAAAAAATGACAAAGTCCTTAAAGCCATGTGCTTTATTCACCATATATAATAAATGTAATTAGTAGTACTTAATAAATATTAGCTTTCACTGAACTGGCAAAGCAGGTGGCTCTTTCACATATACACGCGAACTAATTCCCATGCAGGCTGAGTTGCCTTTATATCAGACAACTGGCTAAAAGATGGGAAGTGTGTGCCTGTCTGGCAGCTTTCCCCTTCTGGCAGACCTAACCCAATTTCCCACTACAGGTTCATTGGTGTTCACAGTGACATGAAAAATTATCTGCCACTCTTGTTCTCATACTTAGCTCTTAGACCAGATTTGAAACAAACCTGGACTAGGATGAAATAGCTAGGGTGTAAAGGGAAATTCAAAAGAGGAGCAGAGGCAGCAGCCCGGGACTCAGGCCTTGAACAAGCTTGAGTGACCTGCAGTCTCCGTTCCTTAGCCTGCCAAGTAAACAGTCCTCACCTTGTGGAACTGCAGAGGGTATATGCGAGCGGCCCCGTGGTTCAAGAGCAGCTGGTAGCAGATCTCGGGCTGGGCAGCTGGGCGCACGGATGTGACCTTCAGCACATACTGGATGGCAGCACAGCCGTTGATATCCATGAGGTTGGCTTCGGCCCCGGCTTCCAGCATCATGTGCATGAGCACGTGGTCGCAATTCCAGGCCGCCTTGTGGAGGGGAGATTTAAAGTCGTGGTCCCGGGCGTTGACCTCCGCGTTGGAGTCGAGCAGCATGCGGCAGATGAGGTGGTGCTCCTGGCTGTACTCCTGCTCTTTGAAGCGCAGGGCCCAGTAGGTCGCGATGGCCAGCGGGGTCTCCAGGTGGGCATTTACGCTGTCCACGATGGCCCCGTGCTCCACGTAGAAGGCCACCAGCTCTGAGAGGCCAAAGTGGGCAGCTGTGTGCAAGGGCGTCTCCTCATCTTGGTTGTTGGTCTTCATATTCACGTTGGCCCCTATGGAAAGAAATGGAGGAGGATAAGTATTAAAATGTAGTTTTCATTATTCCCAAAGTTCATTAAACAAGACTTCTCTTACTGATTCCCTTTCAACCTCTCCCCTGTACCCTCACGTTCCATTTCTGGGTCTGAGGAAAGTCAGTCCTTTGAGACAGCAATACCATCTCCTGCACAGCCATAGACACAATTAAATTCAAGAAAGGGGGATGGGGGTGTTGGTTAGCTCCCAACTAACGGGCGCAATGAAGGGTACATGGCACACTCCCTGAGTAGAGGGCACAGCTACAACTTGGACTTTACCTCACAAATGCAAACAATGTGACCTAATTGTATGTACCCTCATATTAATCCAAAATTTAACAGCAAAACAAAAGCAAAATAAAATAAGAGCTCAATAGCTTCCTACCCAGGGGAGAAGAACAAAGGTTTCTGCCAAGAAGGGGGGAGCATAGCTGAATTTCAGCGCTTAGCCCCCGGTTGGATTTGGAAATACCAACTTATTTATTTATTTATTTATTTATTTATGTCTCCCTTCCTTTCCCTTCCCTTCCCTTTCCTTTCTTTCCCTTCTCTTCCCTTCACTTTCTTTCTTTTTTTTTTTTTCTTGGATAGTCTCACTCTGTTGCCCCTGAGTAGAATGCCTGGCATCAAAGCTCACAGCAATCTCAAACTCCTGAGCTCAAACAATTCTCTTGCCTCAGCCTCTAGAGTACTGGGACTATAGGTGCCCACCACAATGCCTGGCTAGTTTTTCTATTTGTAGTAGAGACAGGGTCTTACTCTTGCTCAGCCTGTTCTCTTATTCCCGAGCTCAAGAAATCTAACTCTCAGCCTTCCACAGCACTACAATTACAGGTGTGAGTCACTGCACCTGGCCTACCAAGTGATTTCTATAACTAACTAGTTTTTATCAATAAAATAGAAAATATAATTAAAAATAAAGGTTGTCCCACAACTTTTGGGGCTCATATAAGTGGGCTTTTTAAATCAATTGTTTTGAGTATTTTACAAAATGTTTTTCTTCTCTTTCATAGTGGGGGAAGCCTACAAGTTTGGCACAAATAAACTCTAGTAGTATGGAAATTGCTAGCCCATTGGCTGAAATGACAGTATAAGCGTTGCCTAAGTCTATGAGGCTTCCTTGGAACACACAACAATAACACATCCACAAAGTTTAGCCACCCAACTAAGGTCACAGTTTTCATTAAAAAGAGCAGAAGCTAGTAAAATAGAAATACGCACTGGAAGAAAAAAAAATATTTAGAGATTGTAACAGGTTTGATTTATGGTTGACAAAAGGGTTTAGAAGTAGAAATTTTGTGCTTGGAAAGCTCCTTAGAAATTACTTAATTCAACCCACTTATTTAACAGACCAGGAAACCGAAATGAATTTTATTTTTCTGACAGGGAATGTTAAGTACTGGAATGTTCAAATTGAAAAGCTGAAATTTTCCTTCTCTGCCTAATTTAATGGGGTGAACCAAATGACCCCACGGGGGCCAACTCTATAATCAATTTTTATAAGTACTTCAAGTACAAATCTGAAGAGGCTTTTATTATCATTGTTGTTGTTGTTGTTATTATTTTGCCAGTAACTAATATTTATTAAGCATTTAATCATATGCACCATTCTGAGTTAAATGCTTTCCCTACATTGCCTCATTGGGTATTCCCAGCAACCTTTTGCACTAAGTACAGTTTTTAGCCTAATTTTACAGATGAAAAAATTTGTACATAGAAAAATCACCGGCCAAAAGTACACCAAGCAAGTAAACGGTAGAACCAAGGTTTGGAAACAGACAACTTGGCTTGATGATTTCTTATCACTCTTCTATTCTACTTCATTACTATTTTTCTGGAGGAAATTTTTTCTGTACTCTACTCTGGTAGTGTAGGAAAATTAGGAAGTAGAAGAAAAACATTACTGGTTTTTGTTCATTTTAAAAAAAATCTGTTCTCAGTGGATTAATCCTTTGTGCTCTTATTGTGGCATGCCCTTATGCTATGGAACATATTTGGAAAAGGCCATGATACTACAAGCATGCTCAGTATCCTACGTGAAATCATCTCCCCTCTTTCACCCTCCCTCCCCCCAGTGAGATTTCCAAGAGCACACTGCTCTGTGAACTCTGTGTGGATTCCTAACTGCAGAAAGTGGAATTGTAACCAAAGATCATCTTTCATGGAACCATCTGTGTTCATCAGTTTTCTGCCCTGGAGAAGTTCTGGGTCAGGTCTTCTTTCAGTTCAGCTCTTCTCTGCTCTGGAGTGAAATAGAATGAATGAGAGTGTTTTCCCAGAAGCCATGTGCAGGGTCACTGCAGACCCTAGAGAATTTCCAGTAAGGAAAAGATCAAAGGGTCAGGAGGAAATTTTTACAGGCCAACTTAAAACAAACCACATCCTTTATTTTTTAATGTATATGGACATTTACAATTGATCCTTGGCCCCTTGGTGCAACTAGACAGGCTGCATTGTTTCTTGTTCTGAATAGGAGCTCCTTATTTTTGTACTTGAATTGTGTCTTTCAGTATAATTTTTCTGGCAAATTTAATACTATGTAGATGCTTTGAACATTTTTTTTTGATTTTAGATGTTATGATTTATTCAAGAAATTAGAGACTGGAAACAAATTCTTGGGACCTTTTAAAAGCATTTTTTAATGTGACAATACAGCATCCTTGTTTCTGAGAGCTGCAGTAACGAAGTGCCACACAGTGGGTAGCTTAAAATAACAGAAATTTATTCTTCCGTAGTTCTAGAGACTAGAAGTCTGAAATTAAGGTGTCCGGGATTGCTTCCTTCTGAGGCCTTTGTTTTAGGTCTCCCTGTCTCCCCCCAGGTGGGGGTATAGTGGCATAATCACAGCTCCCTGTAGCCCTTTCTGAGGACTGTGAAGGAGAACCGTCTCACGCCTCACTCAGCTTCTGGTGGTGGCGGGCCATCGTTGGTGTACCCTGGTCTGTGACTCTGCTGGTGCCACTATAGCATCTGCCTCTGCCTTCTTCACATGGCATTCTCTCTGTGTTGCTGTGTCTTCACAAGGCTGTCTTCTTCTAAGGACACCAACTGTACTGCAATAGGGACCTGCCCTACTCCAGTGTGACTTCAGATTAAGAAATTACACCTGCAACAACGCTATTTCCAAACAAATTCATTTGCTAAGGTATTGGAAATACGACTTCAATATGTGTGTGGGTGTAGAAGGGGATACAATTCAATGCATACCATAGGTCACACAGTATGTGAAAATAAATATGTACAGTTTTAAAAATTATTGTAAAGCCAGCAGCTGTGTAATCATATCCTAGATCAAGAAATCAAAGTTTCCTAGATCCCGAGAAACCCTCCACTTTCCTGCTCTCTTCCCCGTCACAACTCCTATCTCCTACTAGAGGTAACTATTACTGGACAGTTGAATTAATCAGATTTTTGCATTTCTGTATAGGTCTACCACTTTTGTACATAACTCTGAGATATTTTAGCTTTATTGATTTTTGAACCTTGAATAAATAAAATCCTAAAGACATATTCCTTTATGACTTGCTTCTTTTCTGTTATGTTGGTGGAAACAGGTTATGTTGGGATGTTCAGCTCTCATTTGCTTAGCACATCTCTTTCTCAGCATGAGCAGTCTACAGTCTGTCCATTCTGCTGGAGGTAGATATTACAGTTTTGGGCTGTTCCAGACACCCCTCTCATGAGCACTTTTGTGCATTCTTATACCCTGATGCTCAGGGGTTTCAGTGAGTTCTCCACCGGCAAAAGGAACTGCTGGGTCACTAGGTATGCACATTTTCAAGTTCATTAGGTAGGGTCAGACAAAGGGGCATGCCAGTTTACGCTCTGCTAAGCCACGTGTGATAGTTCTCATTGTGCCACATCATGGGCAACATTCTTTAGTCTATTTAATTTTAGCCAATCTCCTGGGCATGTAGTGATATTTCATTGTGTTTGAATGGTCTCCCTAATTACCAATTAAGTTGGACATGTTTTAATATTTTTATTGACCAACATTAATTTTAAAACATTTTTCATAAAGATTTCCATGTTATTACATAATCATTTTAAATATTTCAAAATAACTACTCCATAGAGTAAGTTGATCCTACTATTGTATGTATGAATATTTTCCCAACATTTTGATTGTATAATTGCTGCTACAACTAATAATTTTGTAAGTAAATTTTAGGATTAATTCCTTGGAATAAGTGTCCCCAAAATAGAATTATTAAGCTAAACCATTTGGACTAGGATAATGGTCTTTATGGATAATTGCCAAAAGTTATATTTCTATCTCTCTCATTGATGCACAAGACTCGCTATTTCACTCGCCAGTCTATTATACATTTTTAAAATTCTTACTAGGTTGTTAGTAAAAAATGCTATTTTTTTTTAAATCTTAATTCTTTTGATTATTGGATTAGACACTTTATCAGTAACTGTTAACTTGTGGCATTTCTTCTTTAGTTCATTGTCCAAATTGGGCTAATCTCTACTTTGTATATTGAAACTTTCTGCCTTGTTTGCATTTTTATGAGCTCTTCATTAAGGTGTAAACTTATGCTATCATGATCGCCATGAGCTTTTTAACCAGTTTACTTGGTATTCCTAAATACAGTGATGTTAACATTAGAGAGTCAAACTTTCTCTGCTTTTTTTTTTATTTCTTTGTATTAGAATGCCCTACTCCTCCCAGAGGTTATATAACTATCCCAGATTAATTATAATCCAGCTTTTTTAATTTTTAAAAATGTTTAACATTTTATCCATCTGGACTTTATTTTTAAGCACACATCAATTTAGTTTTGTTTTTGTTTTATTTTTCTACTCTGTCTCACTTTGTCACCCTTGGTAGAATGCTGTGGTGTCACAGCTCACAGCAACCTCCAACTCCTGGGCTTAACTGATTTTCTTGCCTCAGCCTCCTGAGTAGCTGGGACTATAGGAGCCCGCCACAATACCCAGCTATTTTTTTGCCAGCCTGGGTTCAAACC